CTAGACAAGCACTCTTGCTAGGAGTCAGGGATCAGATATTGTTTGAAAAGCAACCAGGTGAGCACCAAGAAAGACAAAAAGCATAATGGGGACCAAGGATGTAGGTAGTATTTTGCCCAGAGTGGCCTATCCATTGGCTTTGCTGGCTACAGCTGTATCATTCTCTAGCATGGATATGCCATTTCAGGCAGTCTGAGCACTAACTCAGCAGCTGTGGTTGGACAGAGCTGTAGCATGCTGATGTATGATTTGCTTTAGAGCAAGAATAAATCCCTCTCTAGCACTAGGCTGCTGTAAGAAATGTTACCCCAAGAAATTGTGCGCTGTCACGTGTATGATATCTGCCATCCTCTCTGATGAAACCCAAAAAACCCCACTATGGGTCATATTGTGCTTTACCCTAAGCAAGAATCTGACTTACAGTACTAAACGCCAGTATATTCCATGGAGTTACTCCTTCTCATGTGTTTTTGAAATTGTGAATAGTGCTTGCATTTCAGGAGGTGTAATCTCTGAAGCAGATTAAAAGTGTGCAAAATGTCATAGTTAAATTAAAATCTGCTGTCTTGTTTCTGCTAAGAAAAATAGCTCTCAGAAAAAGGAAGAACATTCTGCTGCCCAGTTTCCCGCCTCCAACTGTTTAAATCTGAAAAGCAATTGAGTAGAAGTGTTAAAAAAGGGGCCTAGTGTGTGCGGCCTGGAAGGAGGGAAGCAATCTGACAGCTGCCTCTTAGGGGTTTTCCATACCAGTCTGAATCAGAGGGGGGAAACTGCAGTCTATGAAAATTGAAGCTTCTAGCAAATCTTCTGTTTTCTATTCCTTTGTTTGTTTAAACAATCTTTGTAAAGGCAGTTACAGTGAAGTGTGCAGCAGTCTCGGTGAGAAGCCCTTATTCTGCAAGAGACCGAATCCACAGAGGATGGAGGGTAATTCAGCCCACTTTGCTCAACTGAATCAACTTACGTGCCTACAGAAACAGTTGGAAGGGTGAATTCTGTAAAGCAAATAATTAGTTAAAAAAATGTTTGGCACATAGGATACACCAGCACATTTTGTGTCTGTTTCTTACATGTAGACATTCTGACCTCTCTGCTTGTTTGTTCCTCTTGAAGGAAGGAGCAAGAGCTCTATCTTTCATCAGATAGCAGAGAGTGTGAGAGTAGCTGATAAAGTATTAAGATATTCTTGAGTGGTTCTATGTGTAAAAGAACAGGATGGGAATGTTAGGAGGAGAGATCAGGTGATTTTGTGTGAGGATGAAGGTGCTGTGGGAAGCAGACATGAGTAGGTGTTGATGCTCAGGAACAACTTCACATTATCAGAGGAAAAATCAGAAGATAACCACTCTTTTCCTAACTATCAGTCTGAAAACACTCCTGCAGCCCATGAAGAAGGCAAAGGAAGCCTTTGCTGTGAGCCAGGCAAGACGACAGATCTAAACAAGCTGCTGGATCATTGGGTATTTGCCAACTCATTTCCCCCTCTCAAACTATGCAGGGCCAATTGAGAGGGTAAAGCAAAAAAAAGTCTACAGATTCTATGGGTCCCTGTCTCCTAGCTCTGAGCTGCTTCTTGTCTCCTTCCCGAAGAGCCAAACCAGCTCCTAAACCTGGGCATTTGCTAGATCTAACTTGGGTTCCCTTTCCGTAATGTTTGCAGGCAAGCTAAGCAGTAATTTAACATGTAGGCTATTTACTGAAAGCAGAGAAATTAATGCATCATTTCACCTTCCTGTCCAGTCCAAACCTCAGCACATTCATTCCCTCTGGAATATAAAATCACATGTGTAAAAAAAAAAATCTCCTGCACTGTGTGTTTTTCCTTAACAGCCGTCCTGCAGAATACAATGCTGAGAGTGGCACGGTGTCATCCGCAAGGCAGAGGGTTGCCTGGCTTCAGTCACGCCTCTCGGACTCCGGCTGTGATAGCCGGGGCAGGGGGTCAGCTCTGGAGGAGCTTAGAGGCTCCTGTGCTCGCCAGATTCTCCGGGCAGAGGAGGAAGCAACCGCTCATTTTCTCTCGGGATTTTTTCCCTTTAGGCATGGGCAAAAGGAAAGCATAGCCTTTTAAAACGCATCCTGATACCCATCAGGGGTTTGCTTTCACAGTAACCTGGAACTTACTGTTTTTTGGTGGTTTTTTTTTCTTCAGAGGAAGCCCTATGCTAAGGCAGCTGTGTGGGAAGGTGTCTCGCTGTTTTTGTTTTGAGCTGAAAATTAGTGGATTACTCTTTGCAACTTTCCAAAGCAAAGATGTGAGTGTTGAGGTTTTCATTAATGAACTGACACCACCAGTGAATGGCTTCTTCACCCTGGGGTGCTCACCTCCTGTTTTGTGGCAGGAAGAGCAACTTGCAGCTGATGAAAGGCTGGAAAGATCCCTCTGGGACAGCTTAAGAGCACCTAGGTTTGCTGTATAGAAAGATTTACTGTAGGGCATTTGAAAAATGCCTCATTAGCAGCTGATGACTTAGCAGGACACCTTTTGTTGGGAAAACCTGCAGCTGCCCCTTGCCAGGAGCTCAGGGTGGCTCTTCTTGCCCGTCCCTTTTATTCCTTGGTTGCAAGCACTTTCCCTTGATGCTCACCGGCAGTAGCTTATCTGAGTCACGGCAGGCAGCCTCTCGCTCACGTTATTACAGTGTTTACCAGGCTGGCTCTGCCTGCTTTGGCGAATACTCCATGTTTGAAGTGTCAGGGTGGGTGTTTAACAATCCCTGCTGTTCTTCTTCCCCCAGCCCTACCACACTCTGCACTTGTCCTTTCTCACCTGCTACAGCCACCTTCCTTTGTGGCTGCCCTCACCTTGACTGATACTATGGCAAAACCGTAACTCCTGTGTAGAGACTGCAGCAGGTGTGCAAGTATTTCAGGAACCTTTTTGATTACCTCTGGATTTTCTCCCTTTTACTGGCTCGCTGTCTGCTGTGATGTGGCAGTTTCTCTTCCCAGGCAGTGTGTAACTGTACTAGCTGTTGGCATGAAGTGCAGCTTTCCTCGGATTTCTGCTGTAGTTCTTCATGTGTCCATTGGAACCAGCTCAGTGGCGTCTAAGCAGACTTTGCTTTTCAGTTAAAGCCCCTCTTATTATTGCTGCCTTTCATTCTGTGTCTTTTATTTATCTGTCTGCTTTCCCTGTGTTGGAGTGAATGAGTGTTTTTGTGGGTGCTTTGTTATGCCCGAAACAGCCCGCAGTCAGCAGAGAGAGAGACAAACCTTTTTGTTGCTTGCTCCGTGTTGCTCTCAGGCACTCCTGTTTGCAGCACCCCCGGGGTGCAGCTGCACATCTGTTGCCAGCTCCACTCTTACCGTCTTCTTGTCTGGGACTCTCTGAGAGACTCCTGTGTTTAGTCCTGTGCTGATGTTACCTGGGCTGCTTCCAAGAACAATGCAGAACTGCTTCCTCTGTTCCTAAAACTGACACAGAGAATGAGAACTACAGCAGGATTATTTTTAGTTGTGTAAAAGTGCAGCTAAAGCAGTATTGCTAAACTCTGCCTGGCCAGAATTTGCTGTTTCAGATTGTCCCTGGTAGGTGGGGAGTGTGTGTGTAGTAGATGGTAAAGAGCGTCTGTCTACTCTTCCTTGACACGTTACGGTTTTGGATTGGACCGTCAATGCAAACAGGTCTGCAGTCCAAGATTAGTTTATGGTAAACGTTCATCACGAAACCACTCGGTTAAGGAACAGGAAGAAAAGTGCAGATCATAGCTGAGCTGCTCTTGCAGAGCTGGGTGTGTGCATGCAGCTCCTGAAGAGCAGAGCTGCTGCAGTTTGAGACCGGGGTGGATTTAGCAGGGCTGGGCAGAGCTCAGCTCCTGCCTGAGCTGTCAGCAGGGCTGTGTCGCGCTGGTGGGGACTGGTGGGGAAGCGTCCTGCCTGCTTTGTGTCCAGCAGTTCTGTGCTCTGTAAACTGTATGAAACACCTGAGCATTTCTAACGTGCAGGATATCCTATGCGCTGTGCGCCCTCAGGGTGTTTGTATTAAAATATGAAATGCAGGTGAGAACTTTTATCAAGCAGTTCCTTGATCGCTTCCGTAGCCCTCTCATGGACACCTGCCTGCTTTTTCTTGTTGATTCCCTGTCAGTGATCTGGTACCCACAGTACCTCGCAGCAGTCTCTGTGATTTGAAAGAAAGCAAAGTGCTTGTATTCTTGCCCCAGAAATGCAAGCATTTATCCCTTTTTCTTGTTATCAGCATCTCATGGCAGTGCTTTGCGGATGGCACACTCTTGGGTTGTGCCCTTTCAGGCTGCTGCCTCTTTGCTGACCAGCGAGGGAGCAGTGCTCTGGGTGGACTCTGTGTGCTTCCTTGAAGTCCAAATGCCTCCTCCGTATGTTTGTACAATTCAGCACTTAAAACTCTAATGCTTTCTCTTGCAAATGGAGAGTCAATGCTGGAGTTGTGTGTCCTCCTGAACTGATCCTGAAGCTAGCACTTAAATCTGGGGGTTTTGGTGCCAAAGTAGCCACAGAGGCAGGATTTACAACCAAAAATTTGCAACAAGCAGCTGTGGAAATCAGACCCCTCTTGTTTAGAATTGCAGATATTCTACTACTTAGTTGTTATTACTGTTAGAAATATCCATCCTGTATCATTAAAATTTTGCCATAACTGTGTTCTGTTGTCTCTACAAGCTGAGACCGGTTCAAGCCTGCATAACTTCAGAGCTGAGCAGCCACCATTTGTATTGTCCCCAGCCTCTGCTGATTAGAATCTTGTTTCACAGAAATGACATGATATTGTGCTTTGATAAAGTATTTATCTGGCACAGTCAGGGCTGGTTTATTTACCTGATATTGTCTAGGTGCTCCAATTCCAGCCAGCAGTCTCAAGTTCACAGGAGGGAAGATGATTTCAGGAAAATGGAGAATCAGACTCGTGATGATGAGTGCAGGGCATTCACAGCAGAGTGCTGTTAGCCACCAGAAAAAAAAGCCTAAAAAGAAAATAGGAAAGCACTAAACAGTTTGTTTTTCTGGCACCTCAGGATGAGATGACCTCAAGTTTGGGCCTTACCACAAAGAAAGCCCTCACGATCCTGAGAGACCAGTTGTCAGCACTGCTAGAGGGGCATCAGAAGGAACGGAAGAAAATGACTTCATGGAAGGTGAGGCACCAAACAGCACAGGGTTGGGCATTCAATCTCCCCTTCTCAAAGTAAAGCTGAAGATGAAGCAAAAGTTGGCTGCATTCCCTCCCAGGCTGCGGCTGCAGTGTCTGGATGTAGAACTGCGAAGGTCCTTGGGACCAAAGCAAGGCATTACCTGCGGGTATGTTTCTCTCAGCACTTCTCTCCTGGATGCTGGAGCTCTACAGGAGCTTAGCTTCACCTGAGATCTAAGGGCTTCAACAACCACTAATGGCAGTGTGCCTAGGGGGTTATGTATCAGGTGGAGAGAAAGAGCTGTGAAGCTCAACAGTCTCTCCTTGTCCACCATGTTTGTCTGGCCTGTGTGCTGAATACAAAGTACTAGTGTTTATGCACAGTACTTAAATGTTGAGTGTTCCTTGCTTGGTTAGGGACAGTGGGGCAGCCTGGCACAGAAGCCTTTTCGTTCTTCTGAGCAGGAGTAAAGCAGAGAGTGTTCACGCAGACTTGCCAGCTGAGCAACCGTTACTGCTGTAGCATTTGTATAACTCCTCTGGGATGCTCTGTATCATTTTCAGGGGTTTTACAAAGTTGTGTTCACCCTGAAGTGTCAGCTGCTGCCTTCACCCTTTCTCACTCTGCTTTTTCAAATGTCTGGATCTGTATTTCATGAATGCTGACTGCTGCTCTCCTTTCGTAGGAGGTGTGGAGGAGCAGTTTTCTGTACCATGGTAACCGTTGCTCCTGTTTCCACTGGCCTGGTGCATCTCTGATGCTTCTGGCAGTGCTGTTGCTGCTGTGCTGCTATGGGAGCCAGCCACAGGGGAGGTAAGTAAAACATCCTATGCTGGTTAACTCTAGCAAGGTGGTAGTTTTATGTTGTCTCCACACTGTGTGTGGCTCACTTAACAGTGTTGTCCCTCATTCTGTCTAGATATTAGCATACTTATACTGGTGGTTCTGTCCCTTTTGCAAAACTTCAGCCAACTTCACTACTTTTAATAGACCCATATAGTGTCCTATGGTGAGACTGAGATTTTTTTCCTACAGCATTCCTAGATCTTGAAAAATCCTAAGGCACTATCACAGTTAGGAAGGATTTTGAAACCAGAGAAGTTAGAAGCTCATAGAAGTTACTGTGCTGTCACATGCACCATAGCTTGTCTTGACTGTATTTGTAATGGCATTTTTTAATAGAGACAGATCCTTTCAGACTTAGCTGGTGGCATTATTCTAAAGAAGAAATGTAGTCATAGCTCCCCTGCTTTTGTTTTTCAGCCATAAGTCTGTGGGATGTAGGAATAAACAATCAGGCAGGTGTGCCTTTGTCTCGGTGGGTGGCTGGCAGTGTATTCTGCGCATTTACTCAAACCTCATCTGCTTTCTGCTTTCTTCTGTTTTGCTGTGCAAAGCCAAGGTGCTGAGATAGTTAATGCACTGGCACTCTTCCTCCTTCTCCTCTTGGATCTCTTCATGATCGGTCGTCAAGAGAGGCTGAAGTGCAGAGAGGTGGAGAGGAGACTTCAGACAATCATTGAGAAGATAAATGGTGAGGTCTCATTCATCTGTTTCTTGTTTGCATTTGTGTTTTCCTCCCATTGGATTTTTCTCCAAACCCAATCACATATGTTACTAATGGAGCTTACTAGCCTTCCCCTGTGTTACACAGAAACAGCTGTGAGAGTTGTGTCCTACTGATGCCTGCCCTGTAGAATAGTAATTTTGAGCTGTCATGTGGCCATGTGCTTCCAATCTGTGTGTTTTCAGGTAGGCGTCTGTTATGTCTGTGCTTTGGAGTAATTCAAATCCTTAGTATCTCACTAAAATATCTGCCTTGCAGCAGATGATGAGAGAAGAATACGTGGGGTTGTACCACAACATAGAACAGAAGGAAATAAATTGCTGTGTGTGAGCATCATCTCAGCAGGGGCTTTTCAACCTGAGGCGGGAGTTCCTTTCAGTGTGGCAGTTTTAAGGACAGCCTTTAGCTTTTCCATTGTACAAGTATATATTTAAGGTTATAAAATTACTATGTTTAGTTGTGAGTTCTCTCTCCACTCTCCACTGAGTGGAGAGAGAGGGGAAAAGCCATCGAGGAGAAAAAGAGAGATGATAAAAAAATCATGGGAAAGGACTGAGCTTAGCACTGGAGGACTTAAAGCCACTACAGCATGTAAATTGATGTATGATTGGCCCCTCCAGAGTTATTACCACTTAATTCTTTCACACTTTGTGCTTTCAGATGCACTTGGCAAAGAGGTGAAATGGCCAGATTCCATGTACCCTGACCTTCACATGCCTTATGCCCCATCCTGGTCCCTTCACTGGGCCTACAGGGATGGTCATCTTGTCAACCTGCCTGTGAGCCTGTTAGTAGAAGGAGATGTCATTGCTTTGAGGCCAGGCCAGGAGTCATTTGCTTCTCTGAGAGGGATTAAGGTAACTTGCTTGTCTTATTTCCCTGGACTGTAACAATACATTTCCCAGGATTTTCTAGCTAATACTCTAATTCCCAGTGTAGAGATTATTGGAGTGTTTGATTTCTTCTGACCTTGAAAATAGCATGAAATTCCAGTTCAGTCAAGGACAGTGCTTTGTTAGACAGGCTGCATCTTCTCTATGAACTCCCAAACCCAATGCACAGGAGACATTAATGTGATACCAAAGCACCACATTTCCATTTTTTCCAGGTCAAGGGGAAATTGTAGTGTGCTGCTAAACAAAAGTAGAGTGAATCTATCCAGTAGGTTGATACGGCATACAAACTCTCTACTTCATACTGTTTTTTATGTGGAGAAAGAAAATTTGTCTGTTTTGACCCTCTCCTTGATTTGTTAGAAAAGAAGGTAATATAAAATACCAGGGCTACAAGTAAATGAACAAATCAATTACAAGATCTATGTGAAGATTTTACTGCTTGAAGAAGATTGGAGAAAGTTTAAAGCTTGAAATTCACCTTTGTTGGTTTTTATTGTAACTTTCACTCCAAATGCCAGTTCTCATGAAATAACCAGATGTGCTTGAACACAAGCATTTAATTTTGCTTCAAGTTTGAAGCAACAGTTTAGCTAATGAATTTTTGAGAGCAGGGAGAGGGAACTGTGACAAACACGTATTGTATCACTTGCAGTGGGAGGAATCCCGCTGGACTAAACCTTCAGTCCCTGGAGGGGATTCCACCGAGGCCCCGACTGTGCAGCCTTTGGGCTCTCTGGCTTCTTTCTTTTAGGATGATGAGCACATAGTTCTGGAGCCAGGAGATCTGTTTCCACCTTTCTCACCTCCACCCTCCCCAAGGGGAGAAGTGAAGAAGGGACCTCAGAACCCTCAGCTGTATCGTCTGTTCCGTGTCTTAAAGACCCCGATAATTGATAATGTCAGGTGGGTTAAATACAGTGTACAATGCCTGCACAGCTTGTCTATATCCTTGTTGCTGCCTTGCGTCGGTGAAGAATGAGACTTACCAGTCCAGGACAAGAATTTTAAAATATGCTATGCTGTGTTTATTACCTGGGAATGCTAAAAGTCTCTTACTGTCTGTTCTCAATTGTCTTCCTTGACTGGTAGGGTAGGCTAATGTATAAAACCACGTATATGCTAAGTATTACTGTTCAGCTCGTTACTTTCCAACTGAATTTGAACAATACAGGGAGGTCACGGATTTCATGCATTTGATGTAACTAGTGATATGACACCCTTTGGTCAACTGTTGGAGTTTCAGCACACATTGAGGTGATGGAGCCTTCCTGTTACGCGGGTGAGGAGACCTGCAGAGTTTGCTCAACAGCACTGCAAATTTACCATGGCAAGTGCAACGCTGTTATTGTAGAACCTGGCTTCTCTTTTGAAGGTCACTCCTCATAGCATAGGGTGAATGCAGTGTTCTAATCAGGTCTATTAGGAGGTTTATATCTGAGGAAAGTGCAGGGTTAGGGTCTTGGTTGATGCAATCTAAGCTGTTTTCCATTTTTTAGGTGGTGTCTGGAAATGGCTTTGTCGCGTCCTGTGACAGCCCTGGATAATGAGAGATTCACTGTACAGTCAGTGATGCTGAAATATGCTGTCCCTATTGTACTGGTAGGTCTCATTTCAAGCCTTTGTTGTTGAATATAGCCGTGTTTTGTCAATAAAAGTGAAGAATTTGCAGCCGTCAACAGGAAATTGTGGCCAGGCCCTAACTCACGCAGCTGTCTCTGTGTGTGCCTTGGGTAGTTCAGAGAAGCAAAGATGCTGATCCATCTAGCAGTGAAAGTGGGGGGAGGAACTGCAGCAGCAGACCAACTATATCTTCTAGGCTTTCCCAGAGCTGAGAAACAGCTGTTACAAGGCAGGGAAAACTCCTTCCCTACAAGTACCAGTAGTTAGCTGACAGCGTCATCTCCATTTGAATTGCAGGCTGGCTTCCTGATCACCAATGCTGTGCGCTTCATTTTCAAAGCTCCTGGAATTGCCTCTTGGCAGTACACTCTTCTTCAGCTACAGGTAAAGGAGAGCTCTGAGCTCCACTACACTTCCTCCCCAGAGCACCACTGAGACCGATTCTCTCCCTCAGCAGCTTGCTTCATCCTGTGACAGCATCCAGTGCATCCCCTTGTGCATGCTGGACCCCAGAACTCTCGGTGGAGCAGGACGACGGCTCTACCATGGCCATTCCTCCTAGACTGCCCTTTATGTTGTTTGCTCTCTCTTACTTACCATGTATGTATGTATGTGTGTGTATACATATATATGGTATCCTTTGCTTTCAAACTTGTAAGAGTTTATGCCAAATTCAGCAGGCAAACCAACTGCAAGTTGGTGTGTTTTTAGCAGGAAAACCAACTGCAAGTTGGTGTGATTTGTTCACAGCATCTTTCATTACAAACCCCTAAGGATGTGTGTGTCACCCCTCCTGTGCTTCTCCCTGTGCTTCACTGCTTCCAGTGCAAGCAGCCTGCTACCTACTTGCCATCACCTTTTACCTGTCCTCTCACTGTGGTGGAAAAGATGTCATGTGAGAGCTATGACTTCTTCTTGTCTCTGTGCTTGCTGGTGATCACAAACGTTTTTTTTTCAGGTGAATGGTGTCCTGCCCATCCTTCCGTTGCTATTTCCTGTCCTGTGGATTCTTGCTACAGCCTTTGGAGAAGCCAGAGTCTTGGCCCAGATGAGCAAGGCCTCATCCACCTCACTGGTAGGTATCTCGCCACATCAAACCGTTGCAGAGAAAATGGCAGGAGTTGAGGAGGGCTCTGTGAAGCGAGCACAGTGAATTCAGCAGATGTGTCCATGTAATTGTAAAAGCTGGTTGGGTCTTTGGTTGTCCTAGCTATGCCCTCTCCTGCAGCACAGTGTGGCTTCTTCTTGAACAGATGTTTTAATTTTTTCAGCCTGTCTATGGATATCCCAAGGTGATAGGAATCTCCAGTGATTCCATAAATCTCTTCAAGGCATGTGCTTTCTGTCAGCTAAATATAATCTGTCAGATGACTTAACATGAAGATAAATGCCCTGTGATGGCTGTAACTAGGGAACATTTAGCCACTGAGAAAGAACGGGATACATGAGATTCTCTGCAGTCCCCTGTTTTAACATGTGGGCTAAGCAGCCCTTTCCTGAGGCTCTGGGGCTTCGCTTGCAGGAATGGCATTTGCAGTGGGTCAGGGAGTAAGAGGAATTTCTGGTGCTGGTTTGGGGAGTGGAGTTTGGTAGTCTGATGGGTGTGTGATCCTGAACTGGCTGCGCTGATGGCTGTCTCTTCTTCTTCCCTGGTGGCAGTGTTGGTGAGAATCACTGTGCTATGTTTGTCTTCTGTGCTGGCTTCTGTTATGCCTTGTACAGTTTCTCTCTTCTTCTTGTCCTTCCTTGCCCTCTGTAGCCCTGGGTCTGTGTTTTCTGTTCTTTTCGCTATAGGTTGTACATGACTGAGCTGCCTGTGTCCGGGGAGGGAGGACATATGTTACCTCACTTACTGGTGTTTGCACCTTTAACATCTCTTTTCAGTGTTTTCTACACTTTACCTTTCCCACCCACTCTCAGCATCACTTGGTTTCTGTCTTTTTTCACCTTTCTTTTTGGCTGGGAAAAGCCAGAACTCCCTGGCTTCCCTGCTTCATCATTTTCAACATACCGATGTGCCCTTTCACTCATACTTGCATCTTCCTTGTGTTCTTTCCTGTCTTCTCCTTTTTCTTGTCCAGGGAGCTCACTCTGTCCAGCCAGTTCTTTCTGTGACATCTCAAACATGATCCTCCATCCTTGCCGCAGCAGAACAACCGTTGTGATGTGCCTTGGTCATTCTGCCCCTTGACTAGGGCAGTCTTCTCTTGGCCTCTCTATTTCACTCCTTCCTTCTCTCTACTCTGTTCAAAATGTAGCAGGTAAGACCCTCTTCGTCTCCAGTCACATGGCCTGTGTGATGCTCTTCTCCACTTTCTGCCCTCTCCCATCGTGTTCAAGCTGTTTGATTCCCAGTTTTTCAAGGCCGTAGGTGACCCTTGTGACCAGTTAGTCAGACATCCTGCAGGACACAAACCAGAGACCCCCCAGGCGAGCCCCTGCCTCAAGTTGCATTACTACAGTTGGACTACAGCAGCATTCCTTTTAGAAGGGAATTTGATGTTGGTTTGAAGACGTTTGTACTGCCTTTGATAGGTTGTTTCCAAAATTATTTACCTTCACTGCTAAAAATGGGTATTCTATGTTAGTGGGAATTTTTGTAGTATTTGATTTCCAGCCCTTGGAACATTTACATCTTTTGTCTCCTAGATTTAAGAGCACATCAATCAAATTTTTGGTCTGTTGTAGCTACTCACATTCCCTTTTACCGTCTCTTTGGTTAAGTAAAGAGTTAAAGCACATTCAGTCACTATAAGCATATTTTCCAACCCTTGAATCTTTCTCTTGGCTTTCCTCTTAGCTTTTTCTAGTGCTTCAGGATCACTGTAGAATTATGAACCTCCAAAACCCACAAAATATTCCAGTAGCAGTTGTGCTTGTGCTAAATTTCAGAATAATTTGGACTTTCTACTCTATGTTCCCTTGTTAGTGCAACAAAGGATCGTGTTAGATCTTTTAGCCACAGCTTTAAATGGCCAGGCTTTGCTCACCTGATAATCTACAGACTCACTGCTTTCTAAGACAGAGTCCTCATCCTCTAAGTCCAGCCTTCCTTTTTGCTCCTAGGTATGCAACCAGACTTTTGTTCCTGTTGGTATGCATGGTTTTGCTTGCTTACTAAACAATCCATATTGTTCTGTAACAGTATTTATTTTATTATTGAAGCCTGCCCCAAACTTTGTGTAGTTTACAATTTGTCAGTAATGTTTTTTAGTTTTCTTTCAGCCTATTAACAGAATACTCAGAATTTGTCCCTGCTTGAGCTAGCAACTCATCCTATTGCAAATAGTTCCTCAGTTTCTGTTCCATTTGGAGATAGTCTATTTCTAATATATTTAGTATGGGCTTTATTTCTCCAGTATTACTCTAGTTTTTGTTAGAAAACCAGTAAAACAGTTTGCATCAAGTCAAAGTGCCAAGTGGTCTACGTCAAAAGCATTACTTTTATCAGTCACATTTTTCATTTCCTCAAAAAAGATATCACAATAGTTTGATGAGATTTATTACTCATATACTTGTGGTGTTTGGCGCTGATTGTATTATTCCACTTCTTTTCTTTTAATTGAGTCTCCTGTTAGCTGGTCTGTTATTCTGTCTGAAATCAAAGTCTGTCTGGGTCTTGTGGTGACTTGGTTTGTTCTCCTTACCCTTTTTAGGCATTGGCACCACATTAGCTTTCTTCCATTGCACCAGGACTTAATCCATGCTTCAAGCCTTATGCAAAATCAGCAGTAGCAGTCAGAAAGTTGTCCAGACCTGCTAATTTAAACATATTTATTTTCAGTAGCTAGTGTTAGAATGGAAAGTATTTCGTAGTTATCATATGGTATGATTATATCACTGAATAAGGAATAGCAATATTTATTTAACACGTCTGCCTTGCCTGCAATGTGGACTGGTTTTAATTTCCTAATGGTATACTTTTTATTATTTTTATGTTAATTATTACTTCTATTTTCACTTCCACTCAGAACTAGGCTTTTTAATTTTTACTGCGGGATTGTCGCTGTTTAAAATTCTAATAAAATATTGTTAAACAGTTCCTCAGTTTAAATTATTTCTGACAAATTTGCCTTGACTTTTTTCAGCTTTGTTAAACTGATCCTTTTTAAAGTGCCAGGTATATGCATTATTATTTGGGGTGTGATTTTATTTACATACAAATATAATTGCCATATTCACCTCTGTTTATGAATATACTTAAATTTAAACTGTCAAATTTATACCTAGTGTGGAATTCCTTTGTGCTGGATGCACAAATTTTGAGTTAGTAAATCTCTCGGTGTAATTCCAAGAGCTGCATGGTAGTGCCCTGCTATAATTCCTTTTCATTTCCTATCCACATCCCATCCACATCACCTCACATCCTCTGTGTCCATTGTGTTACAGGGCCCGGCTTTTTACTACCACTCTTCTAGCTCCCTTCTTTTAACTGGCCCATATAGCTTAAAAACAGATCAGTCAATCCTGGCTCATTGTATCTAAAAATAACCATCCAGAAAGAGCCTCCATTGGGTCTAATTGCTATTATTTTCTCTGCAGACACTTAGGTAATGACTGTGTGTTCTTCTGTGATGTACAGCACCAAGCACTTTGACTGCTTCACAAGCAGATAAAGACATAGTCCATTAGACACTTAAGTGCTTTGATGGATTATTGGTCTGCCTTGGTATAGCGATTCCCACAGAGCAGGGCTCCTGCTTTCTTCTCTCTGAAGGCACAGTATTTAGGGAAGGATGTTCCTCATAACACATTTCTGAGCACAATTATAGTAACTGGTCTCTTCTCTTGCTGCAGCTTGCTAAGTTTTCAGAGGACACTCTCAGCAGCTACACAGAGATGGTATCTTCTCAGGTACTATTATTACGAATTGTTTTCTTCATCTCCACTGCAGAACTTCATGATATCCTTTCCCTTCCTCTCTGACCTCCTGCTTGTTCCTAGACCCCTTTTGTTTATGTCAGTTGTCCGTTGTCACTCATTTGCTGCTTTAATTTGCTGTGCATGCAGGTTGCATGTCTTTCGCCTACACCTTCCCATGTAGGTGCTGCTCTGCTGACCAGAGATTGAGGTGACTGAGTCGAATTGTGTTTTTCTTAATATCACAAATGGTTTGAAATCAACTTTTTCTGTCCTGAAGAAAGTACCTCTGCCAAGTCCTCCTGTTCCAGGAGTAAAATAGACCTCTTATGGTATGTGTCAGAAAGAAGTATGGGAAGTATTTTGCTTGTACCAGAAAAACCTCCTTTTTCAAGCCAAAACTAAAGAACAGAGGGGATGGCGGTCAGCACCAAGACCAAATGTGAAGAGAGGAGCATGGGATGTTTAGGCTATAAGTCTGATCCTGTTTCATAGGCTCCTTAACAAGTTTAAGCACATTACTGTTGCTTCCAAAGCTGGGGCAAATAAACGTTCAGAAGACCTTTTTCTGGGGGAGGAACTGCATCTGGCTGCTCTATAAATTGCATCATCCAGATTGAACAGGTGGGGTAGAGGAAAGACACTTTTCTGTCTAATCTGGCATTAAGATTCCCCTTTCCTTAAGGAGGCAGATGGACTTCAGGAGTGACTAAAAATCCCTAGATACCATAGAGTCATAGAAGGATTTGGGTGGGAAGGGACCTTTAAAGGTCCAGTCCCCCTGCCGTGAGCAGGGACACCTTGCACCAGGTTGCTCAGAGCCCTGTCCAACCTGGCCTTGAATGTTTTCAAGGATGGGGCATCGACCACCTCTGTGTGCAACGTGTTTCAGTGTTTCACCACCCTCATTGTAATAAATACCTTCCTTATACCCAGTTTAAATCTACCTTCTTTTAGTTTAAAACCATTACCCCGGTCCTATTGCTACAGGCCCTACTAAAAAGCCTGTGCTGAAAGGCCTCAATAAGGTCTCCCTGGAGCCTTCTCTTCCCCAGGCTGCATCAACTCATATCTCCTTGCTCACAGCCACAGAGAGGAGTGCACATGGATGCACACACACATGCTTCCTTTGCTGAGTATTTTGTTGTCTTTCTGTGCTAGTTCATCATTTAGCTGAGATGTTTTTCAGGTGTTAAATGAAAGTGATTTGAGCTGACCTTCCTAACTGAAAAGATCTGCTTCTTTCCTGTTGTGCCTATGTAGCCTTTTTGCTTATGAGAAACAGGTTTAAATAAGAGCTTTTTTCCTTCCTGGTGATAGTTCATGATTGTTTTGCATTTGAGCTCATGGCTGTACTAACTCTTAGGATCTAAGGAACTTGATCTAAGGAGCTTTGGGGGAAGTGCTCTGCAGTGACTGCGTTCCAGAGCAACAGCTAAAAAGCAGTAAAATAACACTGCAATGCAAACCTGTTTTTGCTGGCTTTAGGAGTGCATAGAGAAAAACACACAGCTTTTCAGCTGTTTGGGACTCCCTCTGAAATATTTTTGTGTGGAAGGTGAAGGGTGCCAACTTCACATTTTAATTTTGCAAAATATCCTCTTCTTTCTGTTTATTACCATGTTGATTACAATTCATTTGTAATGATGAAGTAGTCAGGGCACCTTGGCTTTATTTCCAACATTGTCACTGCCTCAGTAAGTAACCTTGGGCAAGTTGCCTCACCACAGTGACTCCATTTACCCAGTTTGCAGCATAGTGATTGTAAGTTTAAGGCCTCAAACTCTATAATCCAAAGAGATGACAGTTACTTTAGGAAAAAAGTTCTAAGAGGTAAATACTGATTCACTCCAAATAAAATCACTTCAGAATTCCTTCCTGTGGTTTTGAATAGACAAAGCTAGTTTCGGTGAATTCTCAATTCAGCAATCAGACTGTCAGCATCCTCTGGAAGGGGGAAGAAATTCCTTTACCTTGAGAACATCAGCACTATATCAGTTAACAGATTCCCACGGAGACCGCTGTTTATCTTACAGTGTATCACTGTGTTGAACCTGAAAGCAGGTAATGTCATACTCCCTTTTTACCTTCTCTCCTCTCATCTTTCACTGAATGAGTCTTTAATTGGCTGATGTCCTCTGCTTCCCTCGGCAGGAAATGATACGCTGTATCTGGAGCCACTTCCTCTGTGTTTTAAAAGGCAAATCCCCAACTCTGAGCTTCACTTCCAGCTTGCTCCATAGTCTGGGATCTGTCACTGTGAGTATTGCTGGCTTGTCAGAAGGAGGAACCCTGTGTCGATGCTTCATCTGCATCATTTGTGTCATCATTCCCTGAGCATAGACTGTTAGTGATCAGTTCACTGTGCTGGAATTACAAACCCTTCAGGGACCTGTCTTTGTAGAAAAGTTTATAACTGTCTTGTCTTGTCCAAGCAGCACATTTACAGGCCAAAACAATGGTCAGAAATACTGTGGCATCTAATAGGGTGTCTGTGTTTTCCAGTTCTGGTTCTGGTCACTTAACCCTCTTGACTCCTGTTCAAGAACCAGTTGGTTCAGGTCCTGATAAGGTACTAGCTGGTGAGACATGTTCAGTAGTTGCTTCCTTCCTGTGGCCTTTATGCATAGTTTTGCAATACCCTGAGATAAAATTGGTTTTAAACAACCCATCAATCCTGCTAGAGCAAGGAATTCTCAGATTTCTTGGAGGGTTACTAGGTGCAGTTTCTTAAGACAGAAGTGAAGGAGAGACTGTCTATCCTGCCATGTGTTGATTAAAGTTGTGATATTTACAGATATGCATGAACACTGAGACATGTTTTCATTGAGATTTTGCTTTCTTGGGGGTGTTTTGGGATGTTCTAGGTGCTCTGCTGTGTAGACAAGCAAGGGATTCTTTCCTGGCCAAATCCCAGCCCAGAGACTGTTCTGTTCTTCAGTGGGAAAGTGGAACCACCTCATGATAGCCATGAAGATCTAACTGATGAGCTCTCTACACGGTCCTTCTGCCACCCTGAGATGGAAGATGAGGTGAGGAATATGTAATCCATAATGTAGTATGTTGGTTCTAATCATAGTTTGACTAACACGCACAACAGGGTATTACAGAGGGGGCCCTTTGCCTGTAGAGAAGTCCTGTGCCACAATTCTTTGCTTAAAAGATAAAGAAACAGTGAGGATGAGATCCTCTTCTACAGGAGTCCTAAAGCAGCAGGTGAATCAGTAGGGGCTCATGTTCAACCACTGAATCACCACTGTTCATTTTGTTGGTCTCTTGCAGCCCCACGAAAGAGATGCTCTGCTCTCTGGCCCCCTGGCAGACACAGTCCACATGACCAATGAGCAAGAAAGGAACAACTGGCCTAGTGACCCTCCAAAGGCTCCCGATGCCCATGCCCACCGAAAGCCAAACAGCAGAAGCAAGCATCCCTCTGGGTCCAATGTGAGTTTTAGCAAGGACACGGAGGGTGGAGAGGATGAACATGCTCAGGTGAGACATACTGAAGGGGCACACAATTAGTCTGTTGTGGAGCTATAAGACAGACAGTCTACCCTTTTGGGAACTTAATTGGGAATTCCTTGCAGGATTCTAGGCTAAAGTTCTATTCGTTGTAACAATTTAGAATTTTCCTGTTTGTCGGACCAGGTTGTTGGAGACAGTGAGGTGCTGGCTTGTGAGGCTGAAGACTTTGTGTGTGACTACCACCTTGAGATGCTTAGCCTGTCCCAGGACCAGCAGAACCCCTCCTGCATCCAGTTTGATGACTCCAACTGGCAGATGCACTTGAATTCCCTCAAGCCTCTGGGCCTGAATGTGCTGCTCAATCTCTGCAACGCCAGTGTGACAGAGCGTCTGTGCCGCTTCTCTGACCACCTCTGCAATATTGCCCTCCAGGAAACTCACAGTGCCGTGCTGCCTGTCCACGTGCCCTGGGGCCTCTGTGAGCTTGCCAGGCTAATTGGTAAGGAGAAATTGCATGAGCAGACACAGAGAAATCAGAGCTATCAATAGACACTGAATCCTTAGAGAGTACAAGAAAAAATATTTCCCCAGTCCTGGTTGCTGAGAAGGTGGGATTACAGAGCTGATTCTGTTGTTGTTCGGTTGCCAAAAGAGTCTATTACAGAGATTGCTTTTGGCAAGTTCTTACATTGTAGACACCATCAAAGGAACAAATGTCATCAAGGATATTTCTAGCCAGCCCTGGCTAGGCTTGATATTCTTCTAGCTCAAGTCTGCCAATCTCATCAGGAGATGAAGAATACCTGCTAAATGGACAGACAGCTGCCCTACTGCCTACAGTAATGCTTTACTAGGAGTTTGGGTGTAAATAATGTGAGATACCTCATTTTATAAATGGGAAAACCAAGGCATAGAGGAGATAAAAGGTTAGGGGTAACACTAGGATTAAAATATGGAAGCTTTTGAACTCACTTCTGTGCCTGTCCTTCAGTGTCACAGCTCCTCTCTTCAATGAACCAGGAGCATGAAATCTGTAATCGCTAATAACATCTAGTCCTTCTGAATGTTTTTCATCATAGAACTTGAGCCATCTTGGTGTAGATGCACAGCTCACCTACCTGTTGCTGGAGAGGTGTAAGAATGAGCGCAGGCAAAGCGGCACAGAAGCAGGAGAGAGGACCTTTCTTTTGCTTTGGTTAGAGCCTAATTTTTCTCCTCCTTATGTTCACGTTTCAGGTTTCACACCAGGTGCTAAAGATCTTTTCAAGCAAGAGAACTATTTAGCCTTGTACCGCTTGCCAAGCGATGAGATGGTTAAGGAAACAATCCTGGGGAAGCTTTCATCGATCACCAAGAGGAGACCACCCCTGAGCCACATGATTAACCTGTTCGTGAAGGACACCACTACCAGTAAGGCTGCCCCTTTCTTTGGGCATCTACTTGGGATGGGAGGACCTTTTCCACAGAGTCTAGTTTTTTAAAATTATGTTAGGTAGCACATAGTAAACCTGTTTTCTGGCATTGCAGAGCAAGGTGGGGGTTTTACTGGGCTTTGAGTAGACTTTATTATGTTAGTGAAACTGACACTGCACAGAGTTGAATGTTGCTCAGGGTTTTATATCCTTTTGATAGCCTAAATCATAAATCATTATCTTAGGGAGTTGTCTAGCTTACGACATTGCATACTCTATTTCTATATTGCATACTAATAAGAAATCACAGAAATTCTGTACAAACTCATGGTGACCATGAGTACACCTGAAGCCATGCTGACTTCTCCGCTCCTTCTACTCCTTCCTATTCTAATAGGAATGGGCTAGGATGGAAAGGATGTACAGCTGAGCACCATGAGGTCTTAAAGCACCTCAGCAAGATTTAACAGCTTGCCTGTCAGAGCTCTTTGTCTCTTCATAATACCTTAAACTGACTGAACTTGGCTTTCTGGAGTTGACATATGTTCAATATTGAATCTGAAATATTATTATGTTGGCCAGAGATTTACAAGGTAGACTGTCTTCTCTTGCCCAGTTCTTCTTAAATTTGTATCTTGATCTTGGTAGGAGCTTTTTCATTTGTCCTGATTGCTGCTATCTTGCCTTTGTGAGTAAGAATTTTTCTGATCCTGAGATTCGTAGTGTAGGGGAAAGCCTTTAATGTTGCCTCATTTCAACTCCTTCTCCTCATTTTTAAACCGTTTAGTTTAGAGGCTGGAGCTCAGACAAATACATACGTGATCTGGATTATGCTGTCTAGAGTAAAATTTTGCCAGCGGAGTTAGTTAACTGTTGGAACACCTCTCACGTAGTAGTCTTGTACCTTGAAATTTTCTGAAATGTGTACAACTAGAAATAATGGATTATGCAGATAATACTGGATGAAATCAAATTGCTCTGTTTATGCAGAAGAGTCAGACCAGATGATCATAACTAACCTCTCTTGATACATTATTTGTGAATAAATTTTTGAATCCACCCAGTCCCATGACATGCTGAAGTCAAAGGGAGATACATAATGAATTCTACAGCTGTAGCAGAAATAGGAGGTAGCTTATCTGTATGTTCCCTTGCTATTCCATTGAAATATGTGTCTCGCCATCTGGCAGTGTTCATCCCAAATCCATAGTAACCACATGGAAATGAGGGGCTCACTGGTGTCTTCAGTGGAGTAAAAAGGCTTGATAACACCTCTGTGTTCCCTTGCTGTGGCTGCACTCTTCGGTTCCTTTTGCTCTGTCTCACCGGCTCAGCTCTAGCAGCTTGGTTCTTCCTAATGAGCCCCAGCACTCATGGATGGCTAGCCATACTCCCTGCCCTACTCATTATTTTTCTCCCTTGTGCCAGAGAAATCCTGGCCTTCAAGTTCATGGTTTAGGAAGGGAAGAGGCCGAGCTCACTTTACTGGCAATGACAGCTGAATGAACTCCTTCCAATTTATAGTGCGTGCTGTCACTGTCGTTTACCCCTTGGAAGGACTGTTGTGCAGGATGCTGATGATGCTGAATGGGAAATGGATTTCAGTTGCTGTCAGGCATGAACCTGGGTATGTGTGTGTGCATGTGGTCATCTGCAAGCTCTTGCTCTGTGTCCAGGGCATGGGTTTTGCATGGATCAATAAACATCTCTTGTTCTCTCTTTCTTAGCAAGGACTATCTGACCTTAGGAGCAAGGTGGGAAGGATTAGGTGTTTATACAATAAAATTAACTAGAGCGCTGCACAAGTACTCCTTTGTGTCCCTGAAACAGGCTCCTTCTTTCACACACAGCTCCTATTCGTCTTGGAGGTTTGTTATGCTGATAAACTTGGCATGTGATGACTATTTATAGCAGAAAGCAGAGAGCTGCTACGTTTTGGAAAATCCTCCAGTGTTCCTGAAGGTCCCTGCCTGGTGTGTGCGAGTAGACATTCTTGGCTCTTGATTTCACCAGCTAGTGTGAGCATTTGCAGTCAGCAACAATGCTTGCAAGAAGCCTTTGGGCTCATTTTTCTTGGCAGTGATGTTTTTTTCATTAGATCAGCTTTGAAGCTGTTGGGGGCAAAGTCACAGAGCAGCTGGAGGAGGGAACCTAGACAGTGAAGTCTACGTGCGTGCAATGTTAATGCATCGGTGCTAATGAAAGGGAACAGGACGTGTGGAGGGGGAGGCAGCCCCGCACCCTTTAACTTGTGTCCTCTGCCTGGGACCTGCATCAGACAAGTGACCTCACATATCTGTGGGAAACACTTTTTAACACCCCTGTCTACAAGAGAGAATGAAAAATTTTAAGTCTGTATTAAAGAGTGAAGTGGGCGGAAAAAAAACAAACCAGGAAAAGCTGTAGTGTCCATCGATTTTCAGTTCTTCCCTGATCACAATGTGAGTTACTTTTTTAGAGTCTGTTATGTTGAACTTTTGACCTGTCCTGATTTAGCACCTTTTCAGGACCCTTTGTGAAACAGGCTGCTATCTAATGGGTCACACTTTAAATTATCTTCTGCTACTTGAATAGAAGGTATTCAAGAATAACTCTTACCCTTTAGATCCACGCCTGGCCTGAAATCGAATGTGCTTTCCAACGCAGGCAGACTTTGATCCCTGTAGGCTCATCACAGATGCTTGTTCTCTCATGAGAAGAGGCGCACAGGAGTATCTTTTCTTCTGCTCTGTTGGACACAGGAGCATGATATTATCTCACCTTCTGTAGGAGCAGGATCATTACACAGTGTAAGGGGAGAGTAGGAACTGACTACGTGGCTCCCATTTTATCACAGCCTTGTTTGAGCTCACGCTTAGACAAATGGCAGCTGAATACATATTATCCAGTCTTGAATAATTTCTCGATGGAGACTGAAGACTTTCAACAGAGGAAGGGGGATATCTGGAGGGCATCAAGGCAATTTGTGGGAACACTCTGTTTTAGCAAATAAGGGAGCAGTTGGTGTGATATCCCTTTCCTGGGAGCCTGTATGTGTGATGCTGACTCCTTGTTCTCCTACACTTCAGGCACTGAGCAGATGTTTTCTCACGGGACAGCTGACATCATCCTTGAGGCCTGCACAGATTTTTGGGACGGTACCGATATCTACCCCCTCTCTGGCTCTGACAGGTGGGCAGCTTTGTCATTTGGTGCATTCAGGAGCTGCAGATAAACTGCAGAGGGAACCTAGTCACTCTTTGGTAAAATTCCCTTTAGTGATGCTTGTTAAGTTATTTAACAGAAACTTCAAGTAGGTTATGAACATGAGCTGTCTGTATTTATAATATAACAGCAGTGTAAGAGATTAGATAGCAACAAACAATATGTTGGACTCTAAGACTAAGCCACTTCTTACTGTATCTGTAAACATATTAGCCTCTTACAAGCAGACTCTGACCGTACTATGTAGCAGGACTGTGAATTATAATCAAGTCATATGCTGGTGGCAGATACTTTCTTTTTGTTGTTCATGACAAATGCCTTGTCTTACATGAACTGCAGTGTGATCAATTCTACCTGCTGTTGACAGCTTCAAACCAGTCCACCACAATGCATCACACCTGCTTAGTCCTGCTGCAATATCTGCCAGTGTCTATTGCATTTTCATCTAAAGGCTAAATTTCTCTCCCTGCTGGCAAAGCAGACCAGTAATGTTTAGTTTCATTGAATAGCAGCACGTTGTTCTTGTAAGTCTGCTTATCCTCAGGTGTAAGAAAACTCCCGCTGGTCCTTTCTGGAATATTATCAGCTTAGAAGTCAATGAAAAATCCCTTGTATAGTCTTAATTTGTTACCTTTGTGAGTTCAACATAGAGAAGGAACTTTACACTATTTCAGTGACTGAATATTGGCTAAATGGACACTTCACATACACCTGCTGAGACCCAAACTCTGAAAGGGGATAGAAGAAAAGTCTTTTAGTCTATGTCTATGTCTGCCATAGATACTATTGTCAGAGTTGTCAGTTCCTTCCTTGGTGTTTATCTCCCTACAGATAAATTCTTTCTGATGGCTTAAGCTTCTGCTGTCATGCAGTTAACGTCCTTGGAGTCAACGGGCAGCCATATAGAGCATATTACATTAATAAGTGTATTCAAAGAATACTGTGTTCATACTCATCAATCTGTCTGATAAACAAACAGAAACGTTCACCACTGCCACTGCTGGAATATGTGGTTTTGTTGCCTTGTAGTGCCTGCAGCTTAGAGAACGCAGGAACAGGAAGGAAAGGTTTTTTCAGAGGCTCTGACCACTCCTCATGCAATACATTTTTCCAAATACCCAACTGATGATTTCTACATTGAACTACAGTGTACGCTGTCAGAAATGCAGCATGTTTCTGCTAACGTAGTCTGTCTTTTGTCTCTTCCACACAGGAAGAAAGTGTTAGATTTCTACCAGCGAGCCTGCCTCTCAGGATACTGCTCTGCCTTTGCATACAAGCCAATGCATTGTGCCTTGTCCTCCCAGCTCAACGGCAAGTGCATAGAACTGGTGCAGGTCCCTGGGCAGAGTGCTATCTTCACATGCTGTGATCTCCCTGGGACAACCCCCATCAAACAGAGCAGTCGGAGGAATAGCTGGAGCTCAGATGGTATGCGTCTTCTGTGCTGTCTATAATAAGGTCTGCTGCTGGGCCTGGTGCTTGCTTTCTGATCAGTCTAGAGCTGTAAGAACACTGTTATTCAGAGTAGCAGATGGAAATTGAGAACTAAGGGTTTTTGGAGTAGATGCATTTCCAGAGGAAGTAATGATGTAGCAGCTGGTAGGTATGTTTCTAGTTAAGTTACTGAAGCTTGCAGAGAAATTCTTCTACTTGTGGGAAGTCTGTTTCTTAAAGCAGGCAACTGAGAGTCAAGACTTCTGGGTATTTCGATGCTTGATTGGCTGTCTAATTTTACAGAAATCATATATGTGGGTATTGCAAAGGAATTAACTGTACGGTGGTAGGTGACCATTCTCCCTTGGTGGATTTTGTTGCTGTGCTGAAGGAACTGATTCCCACTAGATGAACTGTACATCTCCTCCAGAACAGCAGTGGAAACTGAGAAATAGGCACATACCATTACAAAACTCCAGGAGGCTCTTTTGGAAAACCAGTCTTAATCTCTGCCTTGGTCTCCCATTCTGTAAAATGTGAATAATGGTGTTTCCAACATCTGGGAGGCAGTTGGGACTGAGTGTTTTCAAAACACTTTTCAGTCCCATCTGTGGCAAGCTTTACAACTGTATGAAGTGTTTTATTATTTTGTTCCTCATGCTGCATCCAGCTCCAGTTCACCACAGGCTGATCTGGTCATGGTGGGAGGAACCCTGCCAAAGAGCCTTTGCAGGCTCTTTGGGAGTGCCTGCAATGTCACTGGAGGGAACATGATCCAGTTCCTTCGCATCAGCCCCTCGTACTCTGATGCCACTCTGCCTGAGCCAGACTCGCCACGTTGTTTAAGCACAGTACAACGTGTTTAAAATGCACATGTGAACATTACGCAGCATACATCCTTTACCTTTCTGCCCCAGTTCCTTGTGACTGATCCCTGTCTTCTGTTTTGTCTTTTTCCTTTCCGTGCCTGCTGTTTCACGTTTGTATTCTTGGTCACATACATGGGGATGTCCTGAAACCGCTTCTGTGATTGGGCATGCTGGGACAAATGGATGTCTCTGCATCTTGCCTCCTGTATATGTGTGTGTGTATCTGCATGTTTCTGTGTACTCTGTCCTTGGATGTTATGTTGGTGGCCTGTCCCGCCGTGTGTACTTTGTCTGATGGACATGTGGCCCCTTGTGTCTCAATGTCATTGCGTGTTGTTTGCATGCCTGAAGAAGGGATTGGGGAAGTGATGGAGAAGGAAGACTGTATCCAGGCTCTGAGCGGACAGATCTTCATGGGAATGGTCTCATCTCAGTATCAGGCCCGTCTTGACATTGTCCGCCTCATTGATGGATTGGTCAATGCCTGCATTCGTTTTGTCTACTTCTCCCTGGAAGATGAGCTCAAAAGCAAGGTAAGCTGTCTTTGCTGAACCCCCTGAACTTGCATGTCCCCTGGTTGTCTGACTGGAGAGTTTAGCTCCAGTGCGATCTAAGGTTAATCTGATTCAGCTAATGGGTCCAGAAGGTACTTACGCTCCAACATGGCATTGGTCTGCAATACTCCGGCCTGGACAGCTACACTAAAGTCTTTTTTTCTGTTCACCTACAGGTGTTTGCTGAGAAGATGGGTCTTGAGACCGGCTGGAATTGCCACATATCTTTAACACCTAATGGTGATGTGCCTGGCTCAGAGATCCCTCCCTCTAGCCCCAGCCACGCTGGCTCTCTGCACGATGACCTACATCAGGGTGAGAGAACTGCGCCTAAGCCACTTTGAACGCCACGTGTTTCCTGGATGGTTCTTTTAAACCCATTCATAGGTTCCTGTGTCCTCACCAGATACCTGATCCCTCAGTGCTTTGAGCACAAAACTGGATGGGCCTGAGGGGTGTGTGTGTGAGCGAGAGAGCCTTACATATATAGCCTTTCTACCATGTTGGTACCACAGTTGTTGGAAACAATCATTCTTCTGTGCACCAGCTGCCATGATTTTACAACTGCTCATTAGTGCTTTTGGTTCTTGCTGGGGCCCTGGTCAAGGTGCATTACTCTCTGCTTACTTCAGGTGGGATTTCTTTACTCTCTGCTTCCCCTAGAAGAGAGTAAAGAAATTCCCCTAGAAGAACAGAGTGAGCAGAACAGATAAACTATCATGTCTCAAAAGAGCAGAGACTAGGCTCACATATCTACCTCTGAGCAGATTAGTCATCTGAAAATACTGCATTTTAGATGACTGAGTGGGATCTAAGTGTTGCTAACCTAGAAAATCAGGCCTCACGTTTCCTGGCTTCTGCAGCGCCACGTGAATATACCATGTGGGTGGCACAGGGGTGACAGAGGCAGGTTTGTGCTTGTTGTTTATGCTGCTTCTCTCTGCTCCAGTTTCTCGAGATGATGTGGAGGGGCTTCTGCTGATGGAAGAGGAAGGGCACTCAGATCTCATCAGCTTTCAGGACTGTACCAGGGTGAGGCCCCTTCCCCTACACACTTCTGTGGTTGTCACGGCCAGTAGTATCACCTCATTACTCCCAGAGAGAATTCCTCTTTGAAGCAGACTGATTGACTGGTTTGCGTTGCAACTCCTGATTTCCCCCACCCTCTTCCAGCTTTGTATCTGGAGCCTGCGAAGTTTGGGATTGTCACAGTTAATTGCTTTTGCTGAGCAGGTCTTTTTTTTTTTGGAGTTCCGGAACAGAGATGACCACACATGGGGTAGCCTTGAGGGCCACATCTCAGGCTATCTGGGTCCCCTTCCCATGTACTGGGCAGGAAGTTGGAAGATCCCCACATTCCATGCAGACAGAAGAAATTTTATTTCTCCTCAAGCTGTGAGCCATGGCTGGTGCTGCCCAGCAGCCAGCCTGCGGGACAAACTCTTCCTGCCTCATAAAGAACTCAAATGCGCTCAGCAGAGGTCACAGAAGATCAGAGATGGATGCAGATTTAAAAAAAACACAACTTTTAGGCCTGGTTTTAGAAAGCAAGAACCCTTCCCCTTGCTGTGTATTGATGTGGCTGCAATTGAAATAGATCTAGTTGCTGGGAGACAGCACATAGTCTCTAACTAGATTCTCCGCATGAGTAAAAAGTCCTTAGAAATCCTTGAGCACAGGTTTATCTTGCTGATCTTACAAACCCTGAGGGCAAGCACAGACAGCTTGACGTGTCAGTGTAGAACTTTCACAGAAGACTTTTTACAGTGGCTTTGTAAAGACAGCTTTTTTTTGCAGTGGGACT